AGGAGCCTACTAGAAACCTTGACAGGCTTTTTATTAAGGCCCCTAGATTAGGATTAACTATTTATAGTTTTTGGCAGTTCAAAACTTTCAAAACAAAACAATTAATAACTATAGTCTATAATCTTATATACAAAGTTGATTGTTCAATTGGTTATACATAGTATATAGCAACGTAAATTACATGTATATTACATGCTAATTACATTTTGCTTCACCTACATATTTTGTTGTGTAGAAGACTTGACTCTGGAACAATTCACTGGTTTAGTAAAATCAGTTTTGTTAAATGATGCACACTTTTAAATGCACTTATGAGTTATGTGATGAATATACGTGAAGCTGACATCATGCACAATGGCTCCGCCTCACCATCGGGTGTCATGAATTGTACATTGTATTTGTACAACTGATTTATTCTATTGACGAGTGATGGTTGTAGCAGAAATACTTGTATTTCTTGTAACATCCTTGGTGTTCTATACAACAGTGTATTATATTTTCTGGGTATAGAATAAAAGGCCTCTGCGGAAGGGAGTGACATTACAATGCGGAAGTTGAGATGGAGTGTGGTAGGAGGTGTCAATTTACATAAAATCACAGTTAATAATATCCAGGGTGGGTTAATAATTTATTCAAGTGCATGACCTAATTTACAGGTATTGCTAGAATATATATATATATATATATATATATATATATATATATATATATATATATATATATATATATATATATATATATATATATATATATATATATATATATATATATATATATATATATATATATATATATATATACAGTACAAGGTATTGAAGAAACGAACATATGTTGATTACAATTTTTTTGTTCAAAAAAATGTACCGAATACCTGGTTGACATAAGTGCACATCGAAAATCCGCAACAGTGATCCGCAATACACCCTCCCGAACAGTACGTCGATCACTGTTAAACATATGCTTTTGAGTTTTGGAACGGTCATGGGTTTCTTTAGCCTTTAGGATTATCTTGTTTTCCGCGAGTTTTGAATGTTTTCTGCTTTGATTCTTCGACAAAAACCCGCGGACGTGACCTGTTCTCACGTGCTACTCCAGTCTCGCGTGCTACTGTTCTCGAGCTCAGGATATGATTACGCCAGTGATGACGCCTCGGAATTCACCTTGGATATTTGATATATTAAAGATATCTATGGATATTTGACCCACATGTATCCCACATTTGTTTCAAATGTCGCGCTTCTCATGGCCGAACGCATTAGAAACAGTAGATAACGTGGCAGTTCAGCTGATTATGTATTGTTTTTTAAAATGCGTTCGGCACAGGAGAGCGCGACGTTTGAAACAGACCTATAAAATGTTGATTGAAAATTGCGTGACGTAGCATGCACTTCTAAGGGTTAAGACCGGAATTTGAGGTGAAATTGATGTAATTTGTTCGTTATAAAAACATTTGTTCTTTATGAAAGTATTTAATAGCAACTTTGTGACGACAAGGAAGGATTTGGATCGTGAAAAGCTTTGGCTATACCATTAGACATACGAAATATCGTGTAAGTTCGTTGCTTTTCGTTTGGGGGGTTTTAATTACTGCATTTATACGAGATATAAGGTCAAGGACAAGGAGGTATTTTCAGAAATATTTATTGTCAAGTTTTCCTTGGCAGCCGTACCCCAGAACATATTTTCCTTGTCCAAAAACTGCCATGACTAGTTTGGGAACAAGGCTCTACCTTGGCAAGGAAAAATTGTCAATTTTCTGCCGTATCCACGAGTAATTAAAGCATGTCAAGGAAAACTTGTCAAGAAAAAATGACCCGTCTAAAACCGAATCGAAAAGTATATATAAAGACTGGCGTAAGCTATACCTAAATTACTAACGGAAGGCCGCCGCTCGACTGAGAAGTTCTCGCGACTTTACCAATTTTCCGATTAAAATTAAATTCGTCAATTGGTCGACGTCAATTCGACAATTGGAATGGTTTCATTTCAAATGACGAATTTAATTCAGACGAATTCATTTCATGATTAGCTGTCATGGTTACCCAGAAATAAAAACCACGGGATCATAAGTCATAACATAATTTATGCATTTAATTCGACACGAAGATACGACATCGTATGAAACGAAGACGCGCTACAAACGTTTCCGTCTGATCATGAAAACGTCTTGGACGAATCTTAAACTGTCTCTAAACTCGATGAATACATTAAAATAGCCGTTTTTTGTTTTACCTGCCCGTCAACTGAAATCCCAAAATTACGTCATTGCAAACAAAGAATAGGCTATCATATTGCTGATTATGCTGAAAAAATTCAATAAAAACTGCCGAAACAACTGAAATATTTCAATATTTACAAGTATAAGCTATCACTCCGTGATTACACGGCCACCATTTTTATTTTTTCATCATAATCAGCAGTATGATACCTTACCCCCCCCCCC